AGTGTTGGGATGGTAAAGAGCAGGAAAACACTTTCTGACTGCAGTGATTTCAGGACAGATTGCTAGTTGCTATTTTTTTTTCAATTTTATTATTTTTATGTGTATGAGTGCATGTATGTAAGTGCACCTGTGCAGTGCGGTGCCCACAGATGTCAGGAGGCAGCACTGGATCCCCTGGAACTGGAGTTACAGATGGTTGTCAGTTGCCGTTTGGGTGCTGGGATTTGAACCCAGGTCCTCTGCAAGAGCAGTCAGTGCTTTCAATGGCTGAGCCATCTCTCCAGACCCTAGTTGCTCATTTTCTTCACCTTCTTTCTACTGCTTCAACACAAAGACCTCTTTAATATCCACAAAGCTACTTCAAAGAACACTATTTACAAACTGTAACTACAGCAAGTAATTTGTGAACAAAGTAAAAGTTGGGAAATATCCAACAAAGATAACATTTAGAAAACTTCCATTAATAATCAAACACTGACAATATGCCAGTCCATCACGCCGCCTCTACAGGCATAAACAATAGCACTGATGTAGGAGGAGCTGCTTCTCTGCATCTTCCATGGGGCGGGGGGCGGAATGGTGGACTGTGAACACCTCCTCATTGGATTATTAAGAAGTTAGCTTAAGGAGAACAAGGCGCATTCCTGTTTTGCCTCAATGGAAAATTCTGGCGGGGCCATGAAAGGACAGCTGAAGTGAAGTTTCTTTCTACATAAACATCAGTATCTCAAGGCTTGATTGATTAGTGAAAGTAAGAATTTGATCAACTTATTGTTACTGCTTCAGAGTCCAAAGAAAGGTCAAAATGAGCCACAAATATTCTAGTACTCTTTCTAGCAAACTCTTGCGATAAGTTAAAAACAACCCAACAAGATATTGAATTATGTTGACAATAGTATTTCAGACTTGCAGTAATGAAAAACAAACTAAAACCTCAGAAAGATATTAGTAGCAGTTACGTGCATAAGGGAAACAGGCAAATTTTAAATATTTCATCATTTAAAAAGTTTTCTCTAATGAAGGTATAAAGGATAAGTCAAACCTGTTTTAAAATGTGAAGAGATAACTTTGGAGAGCCTATTTTACGTTCCTTGTGTGTGGTTTTAATCCACCATACGTTTAGATATTTTATTTTTGTTGTCCATCACTCTATATCCTGGTAACACATTGAAATGCCTCTTTTCCACTAGACCCTGTTACGATTCCCTGTGTGGTGTTTCCTGCTGTTCCCAGTACACATTACTATGAGATAATTTGTTGTTCCAAAGGAAATGATCACGTACTACAAAGCTCCCCAGGAGGTCTGCTTATTACTAGGACGCTTTTGAAGTTCCCTCAATTATGGAGGAGAAAGATAGTAATACTCTCACCAATTAGTAACGAACTATGGACAGGAAAACATTTTACAAGGATACAGGAAAGAAGGACATGTATTGGTTTGATTTTTAATATGGACTTCTCCAACACTGTGTCCTTTAACAGTTAAATAGGCTGAAATGAATAACCACTGAACAGCATGTAGGGAAGCTATAGGGTAAAAACCAGGGAGGAAGCAGAGAACACTGGAAGCTCAGAGCAGTGTACAGCCTCTGGACAAGAGAAGACAGTAAAGACCAATACAACATTTCAGGAAGGTATTTTCTGTGGCTGAAAATCATAATCACAAACACTAAACCAAGTCACAAGCCCACCCTAAAAGCCAGTGTAATGCATATTTTGGTACATGTATGATGTATGAAAACCAGTGTTTCTTGGAAAATGCCTTTGTAGTGAATTGGGATCAAATCTAAGTCACAAAAGTTGGAACTGCCTGTTGCCAATGTGCAGTCTATGCTGCTGTATGTCTGTCCCTTCAATTGTGCATACAGGTCCAGGCTCACATCAATGAAGCCTTGTCTTCATGTGTTAGAGAAGGACTGAATGGAAAAAGAATGAGGGGAAAGAAAGGGTAGGTGTGACTGTGTATGACTTCACTTTAATAATTACCACGATGACAGATGAGATGGGAAGGCTTTACTAATTCATCATAATTTGTGCAGAGCTCTCAGAAAGAGAAAACAATAGAATGATTTTGAAACCGTCACAGTACAAGTGCATACATGGATGATGTCGGAAAGCATCTGAGAAGTGGAGAAGAGATTTGTGTGAGGCATCAGGAGTTATGAGGCCACAGAACAGAATATTAGAGAACAGACACTGTACACTAGGGCATTTTTTTGAAACCACTTTCACTCCAAAGAGATGCAAGAATTTTGTGGATGAGTCAGCCTGGAAATAATAGGAAAGCAAGTCTGTGATGTTTATAGGAGCAAAGGAGCAACGGTTTAATAATACCCCAGAGGAAATTATCTAGCAAAAAAGCAAATGCTACTGCATTTGTTTGATAACATCCATTAGTGAACACCGTCTGGCAGAAACCAGCAGCAGCCATGAATACACCTTCATGTTAAAACCAGGATGAAAAAAAAAATTCATGAGCTATTCAGATAGTGCATATGTGTAACTAGTACAGGATCAAACACTAATTAACTATAATCTATGTTTGTTAGTGCTTGATGTATTCTGTTATTTAAAGCAGGGTCGACAATAAAGAAATAAAAATAGATGGATAGGAAGGAGCTTGAAGAAGAATCAGTACTTGAATCCCTCCCCACCAAGGCTCAGGGACAATCAGGAAGAGGAGGTGGAATGATCTTAAGAGCCAGGGGTTGGGGAAGAAGATTGAGGCAAAACAGTGTGTTCTGGTAATGACAGGGTTGCTGTACTCATAAACTCAGTAGCTGTGGCTTCTAGAGAGAGAGCCAGTTTTCTTTAAGGGCATGGCCCCTGATAGGTCAACCATAGCACACTGGCTGGCTCCACACTCACGAGTATAAGGGCAGCACAAACTGGACTTGGTGGATTCTTAAAAAAAAAAAAAAAAAAAAGACAAAGAAAAGAGGATGTGAAATTGGGAGGGTTGGTTCTGGAGGAGTTAGGGGAGGAGTGAGGCTGAAATTGACTACAATACATTATATGCATGTATGAAATTCTCAAATAATTAATAAAATATTATATTAAAAAATCAATGTGTGGCTGGGTGTGGTGGCGCACGCCTTTAATCCTAGCACCAGGGAGGCAGAGGCAGGCAGACCTTTGTGAGTTCAAGGCCAGCCTGGTCTATATTGTGAGTTCCAGATCAGCTGGAGCTACAGAGAGACCCTGTCTCAAAAAGATAAAAACCAAACCAAACAAAGTGTGAATTCGGAAACAATCAGGTTAAAAAAAGGGGACCCTGAAGCTAAACGGAATGACTTGGGGTGAGAGCTATTACCCATAAATTTAAGGTTCCAAAAGTTTTGCTTTTTATGGTAAACAGCAAAATACTATTTTTTTGCTACTAATAGTTCCAAATAATCATACTATAAAAGGAGGTCTGTACTAATAAGAAATTCTGAATATTGTTAAAGCAATATAATTGGTCATAATTAGACATTGAAATCAGACACGTTTTCAACAGGCCAGGGAAAACTCAACTCTGATGCAACCACCCCCCTGGCTGCTATGCAGTTTCTAGTCATTCCGCGGAGTAACATATTTAGTCATGATAAAACTTTAGATGAATAAATTATTTTATACAGTATGGATTGAAGAATTAATGAAATGGTATATATGAGTTTTTTTTTTTTTTTAAAGACCCTGTTTCAAAAAGACCAAAAAAAAAAACAAAAAAAAACCCAGCTCTTGCTAATTACATGTGTGATGTTATCTGGTAGTGTCAGGAAAAAAAAAATGGATATTTAATTTTATGTCAGCAGTACCCTTATGAGGCTTGGAATCCTAGTAACAGAGTATGGAGAAATGCTTGGTTTGCTTAAAAAATGCTGCATATTGGAAAGCTGTGACTGAAGAGGCATCTTATAGCTTACATGTTACCACTCTTTCCCAGGCTTTCTGGAAGACATTGTATACATACTGTGTGATGTCTAGAAAGAACGTACTTATGGGCAGGTAAGATGGATCAGCAGGTAAAGGTGATCACTGTCAAACCTGATGACCTGAGTTCAATCCCAGGATCTATGTGGACAGAACTGACTCCTACAAGCATAAGCTGTCCTCTGACCTCCACATGCATGCTGTGGCATGTGTCCTCCAACCCACCACACAAAATATGTAAATAAGTGTTTATTTTTTAAGAATATTCTTAGAGTAAGTGTGTTCATACACAGAAAACGGGGACCCTATGTGTGGTTCTATCTTAGAGACAGTCAGGCATCTATAAAGCTTAGAAATGTGAATCACATCTGCATGCTGGAGCTGGGGTCTCTGGGCAGGTGATCATTTCTCTTGCCCATTTCCCTAATGATCAACTTGCCTGTGAGCATTCACAGAAAGATTCCTTGAGCGTTGCTGAATTCTACTTGAGTAGTCAGTCTTTTTGGGTCACTTCTTTGTCTTCTTGCGATTATTAAGCAAATACCCTAAAGGTACGTTTTATCCCACTTGTATTTCTAATAAACAGTTCTTAAATTTGCAGTGTTTTAGGAACCAATGGATTGTTTGATGTCTTTGTAGTATGCTTTTTCTATGTAATGTGACTATTGCACTCTTTTTCCATTAGTAAAATCCAAGGGTAATGGAATCTGCCTTTGGCTCCCTACTTACTCCTGGTGTATTCTGATTGCTGAGTACTTCCAGTCTATTTTTTAATGTATACTGTTTTAATTAAAATAGCATCTGTAAAAGCAAGAAATGATTCTGAGTTTTATGGAGAAATTCAAGGAACTGCCTGATGCAGCTGCATGCTTTCTATCTGGTCAGGTTATGGTTCATAGCAGAAACTGTCCTTTCATGCAAGGGGGATCAAAAAGAGGTCTACTTTCATGTGATAACATGTTTTCAAGGCCCAAGGTCACAGGGAAAGAAGGCATGTATTGCTCATTTGCACTGCTGGCACAGAAACGGAGCTGAGCCAAGGGGCCTCAGCCCCTCCACACATGAGTGGCAGCCTAGCTACTTACCGGCAGGGCAGGATCCTGACCACGTCATTGGGCTTGTACCCTTCAATGCAAACTGCACAGTTGTCAAAATCGGACTCTGTTTCCTGCAACAGAAGCAGCACAGAGGAGTCTACTTTAGTTCTGTTCTTGAGTAAACACAGCCATAAACCAAAGGAGACCTTGCCTGGAGCCAGCCTTTCAACAGTCTCAGTGCCAATTTTCTTAATCAATAATTCACTAACTGGCTTGTTTCCATTCCTTCCAACCTTCACTTCTTGTTTCCACTGCAAGAGCCTTTGTGAGGGAAACCACTTTCTCATGCTGGTCCTAACATGCTGTATATTACCATTAATGTGAAATATCAAAATCCTGAGAAGAGGAATATTGATTTATAATCTATCCAGGCCTCTGGAATTTAAAGCATAAAATAAATCTAAATAAAAATGGTGTATCTATTTTTTTCTGTAAGTATACCTCTTTTAGTATCTTATAATCTAGTATGTAATAGTGTTGGCACTTTTATTCTCTGATCGAGGAGGGAAAGATATGACCACAATGTCACCTTTAAATTTTGTTATCTGTGTGTGTGTGTGTGTGTGTGTCTGCGCGCACGCATGAACTCTATGGTTTCTGTGTACATATGTGTTTTTGTGTGGAAATATGTAGCACATATTTGTGAAGGGCAGAAGTTGACACTGAAAGTCTTCTAGATTTTTTTCTCCACCTCATTTTTTGAGATAGAGTCTTTCACTGAACCTGGAACTCACTGATTTGGCTAGACTGGGACTAAATATCATGTATACATTTATACCGTAAACTTATGTGCCAAACAGAACTCAGCATGCTGTCCTTGTCAGGATTCCTGGAAAAACTTTCACAGGTCATAATATTAATAATAAAGATTTTGGTTATTATTAATAATAACCAAATTATTATTTGGTTATCATAATAATTATAATTATTATATTATTAAAATATTTGGTTTGTGAATCACTGGAATAAGGTAAGCAAATGTTTGACTGCTGAACTTACGTTTCTTGTTTTGCATTGGGTACTAGAAAGCTTAAACTTAAGAACCCTTTTGTTACATAATTGAACTCCCACCTTTGTGTACTAATTTCATCCTGGCTGTCGATTTTCTTGAATAGATTTTAATAAGTATATTTATTATACACAATAATGAGTTTATGACATTTTTATGCATGTATGTCACACACTTTTTATTTTTCATTGAATTTTTGTGATTGTCATACAATATAGTTTGATAGTATTTAGATCCCCTCCCCTATCTGCACCTCCCCTCATTGCTCCCACCCCCAATCTGTCTCTCAGCTGATGAATGGATAATGTAAATGTAGTACATTTAGACAATAGAGCTCTACTTGGTGGTAAAGAAAAATAGAATCATGAAATTTTCAGGTAAATGGATGGAGCTAGAAACTGTTACACTAAGTGAAGTAACACAGACTCTGAACAACAAGCAGCCTATGTTCTCTCTCATTTGTGGATCTTAGCACCAAATACCTAGATACAACTGTACCTTTCACCCCTCATCAAAGAAGTTTCTTTTTGCAGTACCTCACAGACATTTATTCTCTGTATTTGACCAGAATTCCAGAACTGGTTGAATACAGAGAATAAATGTCTGTGAGATGTTTAACCCTAAGTGTCACATAGTCAATGCAACCTCTACACATAGGATGAATGAATCTCTCACCTCTTACATACTTCTATTTTACTTGTCTGCCACTAACCTCTCCTATTCCTTCCTACCGGTCCATGTCTCCCAAACAGTGCTCTCTTCTGCTTCTAAGATTTTTTTCGTACAGCCTAGATTCTGTATATTTGAGAAAACTTGGTACAATTGTCTTTCTGTGCTTTGCTGATTTTATTTAACATGATGACCTTTAGTTCCATCCATCTTCCTGAAGATGGCGTAATTATGTCTTAATGCCCAAATAACACTCCATTGTGTATATATGGAAGATTTTCTTTATCTAGTCATTTGGTGTTGTTGATGGACACATAAGCTGCCCGTATAGCTTGACTCTTGCTGCACAGTTACTTATAAATTTTTATATTTCTAGACAGTGACTGCATGTAGTTTATAATCACTTAATCTTTAATAAAAACAATGTGGGTATCAGATGCATATAGGACAGCTTTTTAACATCTATTTCTCCTTCCTAGTCTTCTCTCTTCTACTCTGGATGTCAGAAAAAACAGGAGTTTCTTGGAAAGCTCATCACCCAAAACAAGAGACTCTTACCTTGTCACCCTTCCTAATAGTCCTGATTTGGAGCTTGCTGATGGCTTTCTTTGCTGCATCTCCCAATCGGCGCTGAAAAACCAAAAGCTGCTTGTTAATGATAAAGATGTAGAATTCCTGTCTTCATTTCTTATGACATTTAATAAACTAGGGCAATTATCTCTAAAATCATGCACACATGGCATGAATGTTAAGGATGATAGGTAGGAGAGATGGAGCCTGGGGTGTCTGTACAGACTGACCCTAGAAGTCAAAGTCTATGAAAGGAGCTTGGTTGGAGACAATTCCTTGTTCTTAGTGTTAGGTGCACATGACACAGTGTAAGCATATTACACAGAAACTTACTGTCCTAGAGGGTTACTTCAGCACAAGCTGTGTCCATGCAGATTAGCAACTAGCAAAAAACCAAGTCTGTACTAACTTGGCAGTGTAGCTGCTCAGTTTGTGCTAATTTGATGTGGTTGGAACAAATGTCTCTTTCTTGCAGTCAGTTCTCACTGCTGCATATTCCTTTCTATTTGCTCATACAGACCAGACTGAGGCTTGGCTGTGCACTGCTGCATACTACTCCATCACGTTCTCACGTTCTCCCTTATGTATATGTTTGAGTATGCACACATATAAAAAGGGGAGATAGCTCAGTGAGTTAAGTGCTTGCCATGGAAGCATGAGGATCTGAGTCCTGATTCCCAGAACCCACAGAAAAACTGGGGTGGCAGGTCCGGTCTGTAATCTGAGTGCTAGGAACTAGAGACAGTGGGTCCCTGAGCCTCTGACCAGTCAGTCCAGATAATCAGCAAACTCCAGTTTCAGTGAACAGACCTTACTTCAAAAAATAAAGTGAAAATCGAAAGAGAAAGACAACTGACATAGACCTCTGACTTCCACACACATGTGCACATGTGTGTTCACCTTCATACATTCACCACATACACACAATATATGTATATATGAAAAGAACACATTTATCCAACATACACACAATACATTGAATATGGAATTCAGGTTAGCAAACAATTACAAATCACATGCCTGGTGAACGATCACTACTTATGTCAAGAAAGTCTATATCATGCCCCATTTTTTGGATAGAGAAAATTGCTATCTTAATGAACCCTGAAATGAGAAGGCAGCAGGGAGGGGGCTGGTCAGGAGTTAAATTTTAATCTGTTAAATAAGAAAAGGATTTCTGTGTGCGCTTGCAAGTTTTCCACATGTTTTTTCTTCACCCTCAGCATGTGTATTTCTGGCCCATAATATACAGTATTTGCATCAGTGATGCATGTTGGGAGGATTAAAATCAATAGGGAATTGGTTTTGCTCTGTTTGGAATTTAAAATTCCCACTCAATCCTCTTCATGTTTTTTCTGTGTTAAAATTTAAATTTTTCTCTGTGGTTCTGGAGATTGAATCTAGGATCTCATGCATGCTGGACAAGAGTTCCACTGCTGAACTATGTCCACAATACCCTTCTCCTAAAAATACTGAATATATTACTGAACATTTAAAATGCCTGAGGCACCCTGCTAAAATACTTACATAATATTTCCTTTACCCTTAGCACAACACCATGAGAAAGGAAGTATTCTTCAGAAAGAACTGCAACTTACAGAGCTTAGGGACATTGTACAATATAACACAGCAAATTGGCAGCCACACAAATATCAAGCAACTAGCCAATCAATCTGCTGGCCATACAAAAGAATCTGTTAAGAACTTATGAATTTCCTTCATAGCACTGAAGCAGAAAAAGAGCTATTCTTATTATTTTCTCACTGATATTTTGTCCTTTACTTCAGAAATAATATTAACATTGTAAAATTTTAGTTTCATTTTTTTAAATTGAGACAGGGTTTCACATATCCCAGAGTGGCCCCCAGTTCACTATGTAGTTAAGGATGATCTTGGATTTTATTTATTTATTTATTTATTTATTTATTTATTTATTTATTTATAGACAGGGTATCCTTGTAAGCCCCATGTGGCCTGGAACTTCCTATATAGGCCAGACTGGCCCTGATCTCACAGTGATTCACCTGGCAGAGGCTTCCAAGTGCTGGGATTAAAGGTGTGCACTACCATGCCTGGCAACCTGGGACTTCTGATCTTCCTGTTGGATGACTGGCATGTGTATCATGCCTGCTTTGTGCAGTGCTGGGGATCAAACCCAGGCCTTTGTAAATGCTAGGCAAATACTTACACAACTGAACTACATTGCCAGTCCAATACTGGCACTTTAAACAGAAGTGTATGCTTTGGTTGTTTCCTAAAAGAAGTTGTATATATCTGAGACTTATGAAAAAGTCCATGAATAAAAGGGAAAGTTAGGAAAACCTGTAATGATAACTACTAAGGGGAGGAAGAAAAGGGAGAGGGATCGTAAAGAACTGAGGAGAGACAAGCAGGACCAGTCTTTCCTCTGTCTTCTTTGTCATCCTTTATTATTGGCTCAAGCCACTTCTTAAGAAGCCTCACCTGGATATCTTCCAGCAAGATTCCTCTAATCTACACCCATTAATGCCTTTTACCTTTAGAGTACTGTGCCATTGTAGTCTGATAAAAAAAAAAGGTTTACTGTTATTTTATGTGTTTTAAGTGTTTTGCCTGCATGTATGTTAGTGCACTACATACCTGCATTGTCTACAGAGGGCAGAAAAGAGCATCATGTCTCCTGGAACTGGAGGTACAGATGGTTGCCAGCTGCCATGTGGGTGCTGCGAATCAAAACAGGTCCTCTATAAGAGCCAGTGCTCTTAACCTCTGAGCCATCTTGCCAAGCCCAGATATTTGATTTTATGACCAAACTCTGTTACACTTTATTCAAGTAAGCTCCTTGAAAGTGGATCTGTGTTTATTTTTGTATCCAGCATGCAGAATAAAGCTGTCTTCATTAACTGGCATTCAACCACTTAACATACACGTACATGCACACACACACACACACACACAATCACACATAAATTTTGTCTTTTTGTGTTTTGAGACAAGGTCTTACTCTGCAGCCCAGTTGGTATTGAACTCATGATCTACTCAGTTTCATGACTGTTATGATTGGAGGCATGTTCCACCAAGCCCAGCCAATACACATTTTCAATCATGTTTTCTATACAAAATACATTTCTGGATTTTAGAAAAATGAAACTGAAAATAAATAAAAAATTCCTGTCCACTGTATCTTTTCATCTAGAAAATATCCCATAAAAGATGAGTGAATAAAATATTCAACCAATAGATTTTTAAATCAGGGAAGTATCCTGAAAAGTTTAGTTAATGGTGAAATTTACAAATAAATCATAATGATACACATGATAAGGCAGCAAGGTTGAGTTCCCTGACTGGTGGCTTCTTTGACTAGTGGCTATCTTCTGCTGAAGAAGAATGGGAAAGCATTGAGGGAAGGTTTTAGTTCTCAGAAGCAATTGCAAGCCTGCAGAATATTTAGAATAAGAGATATGAACCTCAGATGAACAAATATTGGTCATGTTTCTTTTTTTTTAATTTTTAAATTTTTATTTTTTATTGATTTTTTTGTGTATTTCATACAGAACATCTGTATGATTGATTGTCCCAATCAATCATCTTTATACCCCCACCCCAAATGGCACCCTCCCATAGCCTCCCCCTCCCACTGGAGCCCATATACCCTGTCATTCCTGTTACTGCCCACTGTGTTGTTAGTGCCCCCAGCTGCTCCCTGGTGCAAGTCCATCGACTCCATCTAGTCAGCCTATCTAGAGTCCCTTGTTTTAGGAAGATCAGCTCTTCTTCATCTAGCAGCAATCGGTTGCCAACATTCCTTTAGATAAGATTGGGGTCTGCTGTTTATTTTCCAAGTTCTATGCTGGGTTACTGTCTGTCTGAGTTTGTGTGGGACTTGTATATGCTGATACCTATGGCACAGAATCATATAAGCCGGTTCCCAAGAGCATGTAGGACTCTGTTTCCATATGGTCATGCCCATCCTTCCTGGCTCTTACAATCTCTCTGCTCCCTCTTCTGCGATGGTCCCTGAGCCTTGGGTGGATGAAGTTTAATAAAGGGGTCCTGTCCAAGGACCATTATTCAGCAGACTCTTGATCTCTACACTTTGGCCATTTGTGACCTTTTGTGTTCCTGGCCCTCTGCTGCATGAGGAGCTTCATTATTGAGAACTGATTCCTTGGTGTCCTCTTCTTTATCCCTGTTCTATGTTCATCTTGCTTTTTAAGAGTTCAGAAAACTTTGCAATTATGCTTAATTGGTATCCTATAATGTTTGTGTTTAATTCGCTCACTTAAATTACTTTTGTTTCCAAAGAACGAGCAGAGTAATTAGGTGGAAAATAATATTTTTAAACAAAAGCCATAAATTATACTTAAATGCATCAAAGTATTTTAAAAAGCAGGTAAACTAGAAGTAATCTTCCTCTTTCCTTCCTTCCCTTGCTCATTCCCGTCCTCCCTCTCTCCCTCCCTCTCCTTTTTCTCTTATTCCCGTTTGGTTTTATTGAGTCAGGGTCTCCTTATGGAGCCCAGGTTGGCCAAGAATTCCTAATCACCCTCCATCAGCCTCCTGAGAACTGAGTTTACAGGCACATCCCCATGTGCTACCACATCTGACTGGAAATGTCTCCAAAATCATATTTCAATTAGAACATTTTTTACCAAATGAAATATGTCCTTCTTAAATATGGGCAAGTAAAGTTAATTCAAAAATGACTTTAAATTTTAGCTATGTATTTACCTTTACTTCTGTCTATATCTACAGAAAAAAGGATAGCTTTCTTTTTTTGGTGGTCCTGGAGTTTGACCCCAGAGTCTTGTGCATATTAGGCAAGCATACCATCATTGAACTATATCCCAACTGAAGTTTGAAAAACATTCCTCTCTTCTAAAGGAAAGGTTCTTGCTGCATCCTTTAAAAGGAAATTGCAAGCTGCATTTCTAGAAAAAAAATAGTGAAGTTCATTCAGAAAATGCAAAAAGCTGATCTTAAGGTATCTGGGATTATGACTAACAGGATAGTTAATGCTTAGGGAATTAGAAAGACAAGTTCTGTTACTGGCATTTGTGTGAATGACTTCAGCCCAGGGA